CTTTCCTCTTCTACCACCAGAGTTTGGTGGATCCCATGGCCCTAGGGGGATGGCAAAGTCACAGGTGGAAAAACCCTGACCAAGACTTGGATGGTTAGTAAAGCTTGGGGGTTTGTTTCAGGAACTAAGTTAAATCAATAAATGCTGTTTCTTAGGCAATAGAGCTTTCTTCATCTTTTCGCAACAATTGACTGTCCTTTGAGATATAACATTCATTAACTCATTAACAGGCCAGAACTGTTTTCCTATAATGACATCTTGTGTCTCTTGGCTAATTTAAGACTCAAATGAAATACATATGAGAAGTGCATGAGCACTTTAAAAACCCCAGTTGTTCACTTCAAGACAATGCCCTGCAGCCCTCAGTACTTTACGAGCTCTCTCTCTCATCTACAGGACATGTTCTTATCAACGCATCTCTGTGCGCATGTGCACTAGAACAGGTCAGCCCTAGCCTGAGTCCCCTGTAACAGAACCAGGCCCAGAGTCAGGCAGAACGGCACATTTGTGCTTTGTGGACCTCTTGCTTTCCTTAGTTTTCTTTGCCTTGAGTGCATTTGATTAGGCCACAAGCTATGAAAACAAAATGACTAAAATAACACATCTGGTTAAACAAATTTGACTTTTTATATGATAGCTGCTTTCTAGTTTCAGTCTTTTGGCACTGAATTTTTATTTTTACTAAATTATTCAGACTAAGTCTTTTTTTATTGGCAAAAATTTAATAAGAGACATTCAAGTGGCTTTTATTAGCTGCCAAAACTTTTGTTTCAAAGGGGTTGCCTGGTGTGAGAAAGGGATGAATGCGTACATACTCTGGTTAAGATGGGAGAATGTGTGTAGATGAATGTGTACACCTTCCGGTTAGAATGGAGAGTGTGTGTAGATGAATGCATACACACTCGGGTTAGAATGGAGAGTGTGTGTAGATGAAAGTGTACACCCTCTGGTTAGAACGGGAGAGTGAGTATAGATGAATGTGTACACACTCTGGTTAGAATGGAGAGTGTGTGTAGAGTCAGACCCTTCTCCTGCTGTCTTAGCCGGCCCCTCAGAGCCCCCAAAACTTTGTAGGGCACTCTCTTAAATAGACTAGAGATTTAAATCAAAGTAGTGAAATTTCTATCAGCGATTTGCATATATTTCTTTGGTTCAGTATCTAGTGTGATATAAATTTAATAAGAGACATTCAAGTGGCTTTTATTAGCTGCCAAAACTTTTGTTTCAAAGGGGTTGCCTGGTGTGAGAAAGGGATGAATGCGTACACACTCTGGTTAAGATGGGAGAATGTGTGTAGATGAATGTGTACACCTTCCGGTTACAATGGAGAGTGTGTGTAGATGAATGCATACACACTCGGGTTAGAATGGAGAGTGTGTGTAGAGTCAGACCCTTCTCCTGCTGTCTTATCCGGCCCCTCAGAGCCCCCAGAACTTTGTAGGGCACTCTCTTAAATCGACTGGAGTAGAGATTTAAATCAAAGTAGTGAAATTTCTATCAGCGATTTGCATATATTTCTTTGGTTCAGTATCTAGTGTGATACATTAACAAAGCAAAACAAAACATATAAAAAAGCACTGGCAAGGCTTTATTAAAAAGAACATGTTTTTAGCTTTGGATATGTCACAAAATATTCCATTGCCATTTACCAGAAAATTCAGACCATTACTCACCTTTCCATTGCTTATGAGTGTAATCAAGACATTTCATTTTGAAGTACTTAACATTTTAAAAAGCTATATTTCTAAAAATCCAAATAATTCCTTTAGTCAATGAGGAGAACAGAAGGTTCTGCTGAATGGTAATATGACCCAGGAATAGCATTATACTCTCCACATATTGGTTTGGCACATTCTTTACCTTTGAGGAGAAACAGAAATATTAAAGTGCTTGTAGCCCTTTCTGAACCTTCAGTCAAAGTTTATTAAAGTTTTGTCAGTTACATAAAATAGGAATATCTAGTGGAATAGTGTTTTACTTCTTATTGATCCTATCACCATTATTATATCATAAAATATTATTCATTTTATAAAAATATATTAATTGTGTATGTGCCTGTAATCATGGCTTCCCAGGTGGCACTAGTGGTAAAGAACTCACCTGCCAGTGCAGGAGAGGTAGGAAACCCAGGTTCGATCCCTGGGTGGGGAAGATCCCCTGGAGGAGGAAATGGCAACCCACTCCAGTATTCTTGCCTGGAGAACCCTATGGACTGAGGAGCCTGGAAGGCTACAGTCCGTGGGGTCGCAAAGAGTCGGACACGATTAAAACAGCACGCACGCGCGTCTATAATCTTAAAGCAGATCTTAGCAAGGTACCTGGTTATAGTACATATTCAGTCGATGGGCACTTTCGCTGTCCTTGTTTATGAAGACTTTGTAAAAAATCAGAGAAGTCTAGAATTTGAAAATAAATGGAGCAACACAATGTGCTCTACCTAAAGGAAATACTTAGCAGTAAGGAGCCCTTTTCATGGTAATAGAAATAAAATGGCGAACTACTCTGCCATCTAGTGGACATGCTGAAAAGAGAAAAGTGTTTGGTAAAGAGTTGCATTAATTTTCACCAAAATGCTGAATTTTTCTTTAGCAAAGTAGCACCTGCTCTCCTTATTGCTTTTGGAAGATATTATGAGGATTTGTGTGTGCAATGGGTAAGATAGTTTTCATAAAGTGGTTTGAAAAAAAATGGAATTTAGGGATTCCAGGATAGAAGCTAAAAAGGGTACAGTGCCAAATGAATGTTTTCATATAAGGACTATCACGGAGCCAGAGCAAGAAAAAGTGTGTGAGAGAGAAAGAGATAGGAAGGAGAGAGAAACTGATCTCTTTACAGCATTGTTTAAAAGAGGGAACAAATAAGAAAGAAGCACTGTTTAGAAAATTTTTGAAGTTTAAAACTGGAAGTCCCCAGGGCTCAAGGAATAATTCTTTAACATATGGAAAGTTTGGCAAAGAGGAAAAAATGTCTATTGGAAGAAGTTCCAATGTCTGGGAAGAGGGAGGAAAGGGCAGATGAAGAACAGCTGCTGAAAACGAGTACCGCGTGTCCGAGGCTTCCTGCAACGCCGCAGCCCAGAGAGCGCACCGCTGCTGAGGGCGGTTTTCCTGTGTTTCACCCAAAGTTACAGGCTTGTGGTGGGAGGGAACCAGGAGGTAAGAGTATAACTAAAGGAGACCTTTCAGTAAACTGGATGCTGACCACTTCTATTGCCTTGTTAAAACGAAATAGTACCACCAAAAGGAAGACTGGCAAGTCATCTCCTGTTACACCTTGCGGAGACTCATGCTCTGAGGGGCGAAGCCCCATGCCCTCAGCCAGTTCAGTCCTCGCAGGACCTGTCCGTGGGTAGCTTCCGACAGGGCTCTACGATCATGATGAACAAAGAGGTTAAGAGGAAAAAAGGCAGCTGGAGAGTTTAAAACTTTTAGTATAGCCAAGTCGATTGTGCTGATAATTCTCAGCATGTTAGAACAATGTGCAGCATATCAGCTGACAGGGGAAGGGACCTTGGCTTGGGATAGGATTCTTGGGACGGCAGTGATAAGGATAGATAGATTAGATCCTGACCCAGTTCATTTGGAATAGCGCCTGTCTTACACAAGGGGGTGATAATAAATAGGGAATAAAATCGGGACTTCTAGCATTTGTGAAAAGGGAAGAATATTTTCTGAGACCTCATAGGTTGGTGTCCTATTGGCAGGAAAAAAGGTAACTCCTCCTACCCTACCTTCTCCTAGTTATCGCCTTTTGCGATGAAAAAGAAAAGAATATTTCATGGAGCAGGCAAGATGGAAGAATTTTACACTATTACATGGATTTGGGGCCTGCAAGAGAGTAAACAGTTCTTTAGACAGTGTTGGGGACACAGATGTGTAGGGCAGGAACTAGGAAGGCAGGTGGCGCTGTGGAGTAAGCCTCAGGGTGGTGGGACAGTGGGACCCCAGAAACTCTTCTGTGTCAACCTCGCGTTGGGATACAGACACGTGGCCCTGAGGGTTATGTGGATACGGCTTATTGGGTCAGATGTGGACAGCTAAGCAACACTGTGAACCCATCAGGTTCTCTCTTTCAGAAACTTTAAGCTGGGACCACTTCCAACTTGGACCTGAGGCTGCAAGACTGTCGATTTCCAACATATTAGCCAGAGAGCTGTGCTTCATCTGTAATTAGATTGTGCACAAAGCAAAAAAAAAGTCAGTCTTCAGAGGGACGAAGGGAAATAATGTACAGGAAGAGCAGAGATGAGAATTAGTAAAAGAAATATCTGAAAAGTTTAAAATTATTTGTTCTAATTCCTTTTTATGGCCATCCATAGATCTGCCCTCAGCTTTCATTATCTCTGTATCCTGGTAATGGGGCTTCCCAGGTGCTGCAGTGTTAAAGAAGCTGCCTGCCAACGCAGAAGATGCAGGTTCAATCCCTGGGTCAGGCAGATGCCCTGGAGGAGGAAGTGGCAACCCACTCCAGTATTCTTGCCTGGAAAGTTCCATGAACACAGGAGCCTGGCGGGCTATGGCCTATGAGGTCACAAAGAGTCAGACATGACCTGAGCACACACATTTCTCCACTTCATCCCTGTAATATATTCCTGTTCAACTTAAGAAGTCCTCTGTGAAAATCTGTTAAATGCACAAAGGTTCTTAACCATATGGTAATTTTTCCCCTACACTGTCCAAATTTAGTGATTTGAGTCAGAAAGATGAAATTTGAAAAGGTGGACTTCCCTCGGTCCCTTAGACTCTAGGTAAATAGAAACTCTAATCTAGGCATGACCTTTTGAGTGCGTCCTCAAAAATTTTGGATCTCCCTCCAGCACTTGATCAGTAGGGATGTGTGGTACTGTTCAGGAAGGGGACCCTGGTCCTGGTCTTCTTCTCACCTTGGAGAACTTTCTGACCCTCTGTGTTCCCCGGTTGCTTCCAACTGGGGTCATCAGTTGCACAGAGTCCTCCAGTACTAATGCTTATGAGGTTTTCCTGGGACCCCAAGGGTTGGGCCCCTGTTCTGTATATTCCTGTTCAACTTAAGAAGTCCTCTGTGAAAATCTGTTAAATGCACAAAGGTTCTTAACCATATGGTAAATTTTCCCCTACACTGTCCAAATTTAGTGATTTGAGTCAGAAAGATGAAATTTGAAAAGGTGGACTTCCCTCAGTCCCTTAGACTCTAGGTAAATAGAAACTCTAATCTAGGCATGACCTTTTGAGTGCGTCCTCAAAAATTTTTGATCTCCCTCCAGCACTTGGATCAGTAGGGATGTGTGGTACTGTTCAGGAAGGGGACCCTGGTCCTGGTCTTCTTCTCACCTTGGAGAACTTTCTGACCCTCTGTGTTCCCCAGTTGCTTCCAACTGGGGTCATCAGTTGCACAGAGTCCTCCAGTACTAATGCTTATGAGGTTTTCCTGGGACCCCAAGGGTTGGGCCCCTGTTCTGGGAAGGTGGCCTGGCAAGTAGATGCCTGGTGGTGGTCGAGTGACCAAGTCCTGAAGGGAATAGCCTCTTGCTGGTCTTTAAAGCTTCAGTGGAACTCTACATATGAATTGATTTAGATTCTCTGTGTTAAAAGTGAAAAAGTTAAAATGCCAGTTTAAAAAACCCAAAGAAAGAATTATGTGCTTTCAAATGAATGAAAGATTTCTATACTGACAGAGAGTGAAAGACAGGGAAGAATAGAAAGGAATGACAAAAGACAGCCGGAGTCCATACTATGGCAGGTCTCGAGAAATTGGACTCTATCTTCAAGGCAACGATCAAGCACTGAAAACTGCTAGTAATTTGTATTATAAACAGTTACTCTGATTGTAGAGTGACCACAGGGGAGAAGTTGGGAAGACGCTCAAAGGTGGTGGCCCTGAAGTTGAAGAGAAATGGACCGACTCTAATGAGGTATGTAGGAGATGGGAGTGACGATAGATTTGATGAGAGCAGAGGAAGAGAGGGTTGTCAGGGTAACCTCTGGCTGAGCCGCTAGGTGAGCAGCTGCACCATTTCCTGAAGAGCAGTTTTATGAGACAGGCTAGAGGTCGAGGTGGGGGCGGCTGGTGGGGAAGAGAAGAGGATGAGCGTAGGCAGAGTGGGAGGTGCATGAGGGGCTTCTGAAAGGACAATGCACAGTGGGGGCTGGAGGCGTGTGACCGGAACGCCCATGATCACATTATTCCCTCCCCTGGCAAAGTCATGTAGTTTGGCTCCATTTCCCATCTGGAATGCAGAGCGTTGAGCCTGGACACATGCTTTCTTTCCCATGCAGGAGACTAGGAATGCAGAAGTAGCTGATATGCACCAGAGAAGATGTCCATTTACTTTACACGTTGACTTTGCCCCAGCCTGTGCCTCAAAGTGTAATTCAGAAATTTCAGACATGGTGGTGCACAGACATTGTGCACAAGAGTGTTTGTCTTGGACTGGCAGGAAAAATACATAATTTTGCCCTTCACAAGCCATTGTCTGCCTTCAATGTTGACATATTCACTTTCCTAACTTGGCTAGGGAAAATGGCTCCTGATCATCATATAAGGCAGACACGTTCAAATAATAGAATGTGTCTCTTACCCATAATCTGCATTTCAGTACATCCAATTAGCTGTGCAAATAACTACACAAACATACCAATATAAAATTGATATTTTTTTTAATTTATTGAAACCTTTACCCATTTTCAGATGTCTTCTCTTAATTTAAACTGAATGTCTAAAGCAGGCAAATCTATGTATTTATTCTTCATTCTGAGAGAAATGTTGGCTTGGGGAAATTTCAGGGAGGAGCTCAGGAAAATTTTCTGAAAAACTATATTATTTATCTGATCAAGAAAGGTTATTCAATTCTGAGCTTTCCTTCTGATTTTTTGTTAATTAAAATTTTAGAAATTTAAATGTCTAAATCCACAATGAATCTGCACAAATATAAGTACAGCAGCTGAAGTGGCCTGGAAGGCATATGTTCTGATTATCTCTTCTGTGATGGGGCTTCTAAGATTGAACTTTATTTCCATTTATTTAGTGGTTTTCATACTTTGATACTTTGGAGGTTAAAAATAAAATCCCTTTGACCTAAAACCTAGTTCTGAGAATTCTTGCTGTAGGTCTCACATCTCCATTGCTTTCTCTTGGACTTCGTGTGCCTGGGAGAGAATAAAACGTGAACTCTTGATGTTTCCGTGTGTCACAGCTTTTCCAATTCAAAATCCAAAAGGAAATAGAGGGAAATGATACGCATGAAACTTTCTATATTGCTATGTATTTATTCTTCATTCTGAGAGAAATGTTGGCTTGGGGAAATTTCAGGGAGGAGCTCAGGAAAATTTTCTTAAAAACTGTATTATTTATCTGATCAAGAAAGGTTATTCAATTCTGAGCTTTCCTTCTGATTTTTTGTTAATTAAAATTTTAGAAATTTAAATGACTAAATCCACAATGAATCTGCACAAATATTAGATAGTGCTATAAGTACAGCAGCTGAAGTGGCCTGGAAGGCATATGTTCTGATTATCTCTTCTGTGATGGGGCTTCTAAGAGGGAACTTTATTTCCATTTATTTAGTGGTTTTCATACTTTGATACTTTGGAGGTTAAAAATAAAATCCTTTTGACCTAAAACCTAGTTCTGAGAATTCTTGCTGTAGGTCTCACATTTCCATTGCTTTATGTTGGACTTTGCGTGCCTGGGAGAGAATAAAATGTGAACTCTTGATGTTTCCGTGTGTCACAGCTTTTCCAATTCAAAATCCAAAAGGAAATAGAGGGAAATGATACGCATGAAACTTTCTATATTGCAGGGACTTGAGTATTCTCAAGTTTATCACAACAATACATCGAGCAAAGGATTTCTATCCCTATTTTTGGATGAGGAAACTGACTCTCAGAAGGGACATTTGTTGAAATTCGCACTGCTGAGTGATGGGTGGAAACAGAAGACTGATCCTTCTGCTATAATATTCACACTATTTCCACTCTGCCAGAGGTTTCCTGATTGGGTTCCCAGAGCCCAGGGACAAGGGGAGACACCTTGGCCACCACACTGTGGGGAAAGTGAGGAGAAAAAAGGCTGCCTGACAAGATGTTGGTTCCCTGTGTTCGTTTCAAGCAGAGCAGTTCTGCCTTTAATTTTTTATTTACTGTGTACACTTAACATTATTACCCAGGAAAGTGACTTCCACTACTTGAAACTAATTTTGCAAGGTGTTGCACTGTGAAAATGAACTCTGGAGCTCATGAATGAGAAAACTAGAGAGTCATAAAGAAAAATACCACCACTTCTGGACATAGTAAACTCTCCATAATACTATTTATATTTAAACTTATTTGGGGGCCTTTTTCTCCAGGTAGTTATTGACACATGATTAATAGGAAATTGTTTTCCTATCTGTGTTTCTATGTTTTTAGGGATAATGTACAGAACTCTGAAATACTGGAAGAGAGATGTCTGTGTATGCCTGAGAGAGAGCTAATAGTTTAAGACTACTATGGAGTGTGGGCTTCCCTGGGGCTCAGCAGTAAAGAATCTGCCTGCACTGCAGGAGATCTGGGTTCGATCCCTAGGTCGAGAAGATCCCCTGGAGTAGGAAATGGACGCTCACTTCAGTATTCTTGCCTGGAGAATCCCAGGGACAGAGGAGCCTGGTGGGCTACAGTCCGTGGGGTCACAAGAGTCAGACAGGACTGAGCCACCACCAAGGTGGAGTGTAGAGGAAATGGAGCCATTTTATAGGAAAAAAAAAAAAATCAAAAAACTGTAGGTTAACTAACCTTGGTTCAGAGACCAGGGAATGTATGAAGGAGGTAAAGATTCTGATTGAAAGCAATTCTCAGTGGATGTCTGGCTGGAATTCCTGGCTTTAACGTAACTTTTAATTTTTAATCAGCTTTATTGAGGTATGATTTACTTGAGGCTATGTAATCCTGACTTCTACTTCTAAAGAAACTGCTTCTTTTATATCCACTGCAGTGGGACATGGCCCAAATTATTTCTTGAGACAAAGACAATCACTACTTTTAGATGGCTGTACTAAAATGTGGTCCCTGGAACAACAGCCTCAGCATCACCTGGGGGCCTTTCATAGGTGCAAATACTCAGGCCCCATCTACAGACCCACAGACTGGAAACTAGGTAGGGCCCAGCAGTCTGTGTTTCCCTGAGCTCCCAGGTGCTTTAATTCACAGTAGAGTTTGAGAATCCCTGTATGGGAGCTTGCTTTTGACCAGGCATAGCCAATCTGGAGACTGGCCAGAGGAGGGTTGTCTTTGCTGAACTTATCCTATGAACAAAGCTAGAGCTTCCTGAATTGGCATGGGAAACCTGGAAGATATCAACCAGCTGTTAGCAGAAAAAAGCAGAGGGAACACTTAAATAGAAGAAGAGATCAAGAGTCAAGAGTCATGTCATAGCTCACTGCTAAAACTTCTGTTGATGAAAGGGTGAGATTCCACACATATTCTCACAATAAGTTTCCGTTATGTGAGGTATCTCATCACCAAAAGAGCTTAAACCATCTTGTCCTCAGCAGTTCAGAGTTTACATAGAAGGGAGAGAATCATATAAGTTAGTAATTATTTGAGCCAAAAATTTGGAGAGGGGGACAAAGAAGCAACCTTAATTTTGAGAAAATGAAGACTCAAAGAAGATAATTTTTTCATATTGAGAATATAATGATAATGTGCACAGAGAGGTCAGACCAGGCTCTCCAAAGAAAAATCTCATTCAGACACACAAATGTCTTCTGCAGAGCAGGTAACCAGAATTTACATGTCTTCATAATGACATAGACTAATAAACAGCATGTATTGTGCGTTTAAGTATGTAGGATGTGGTTTTATGTCTCTGTGTGAATACATATATATATATGCATGTGTGTATATATGTGTGTATGCTAAGTCACCACGGTTGTATCCAACTTTTTGTGACCCTATGGACTGTAGCCTGCCAGGCTCCTCTGTCCATAGGATTCTCTAGGCAAGAATACTGGAGTGGTCGCCGTGCCCTCCTACAGGGGATCTTACTGACCCAGGGATTGAGCTGGCGACTCTTATGTCTCTTGCACTGGCAGGCTGGTTCTGTACCACTAGTGCCAGCTGGGAAGCCCACGTGGCATGTATGTGTATATATGGTATCTGAATTCACTTAAATCATGTAATAACCTGACCATGTTTATACTGTTACTGTATTTGTTTTATAGATAATAATATTAAGGTAGGGGAAAATTAATTACCTTGCCCAAGGACATACACGTCATCTGTTATGAAGTAGGGATTTGCACCCCGGTAACTTGGCACCAGAGCTTGTGCTATCAGCTACAATGTTATATTACTTCTTGATGGAAGTTATTAAAATTAATCCTCTATGTTTGAGATTCTATAAATTGCTTATTTGTCTCTATGGCAACCATATGAAAGCCCTGTGCTTCTAGACTCTCATTTGAAATCACCACTAACCAAAAGAGCCACATGGCTCCTGCATGTCCCACCAAACATGTGCATGTGATTACATTTTCTATGTGACTCCTAACCTCTTCATCAGACCAGTGTCCCATGTTGAGAACTCTGCTTTTACTTCCTATAGGAATTATTTACATCTGATTTCCTAGTTGTAATCTGGAACAAAAGAGGGAGGAAGGGAAGAAGGTAGGTACTGTCCTCCTCTTTCTAGACCATGAATGTATTTCAATGTTTTGTAATGGAACAGTATGAAACCTGGGCTTCCTCAATGGTTCAGTGGTAAAGAATCTGCCTGCAATGCAGCAGACACAGGTTCAATCCCTGAGTTGCGAAGATCCCCTGGAGGAGGAAATGGCAACCCACTCCAGTGTTCTTGCCTGGAGAATCCCATGGACAAAGAAGCCTGGCGGGCTTTCATCCCTGGGGTCACAAAGAGTAAGACACAACTGAGCAACTG